TCTAATGATATTATAAAATTTGCTTAAATGCATACAAGTGAAATTACATAAAAATATTAAAACCGTCTATAATGATTTATATTACACTTTTTAAATTTCATTGATTAAATGAGGAAATTGATCAAAATTATAATTTTCATGATACAAAATTATCAAATTACAGAATTGTCATATTGTATTTTTTATGCTTCTATAACAAAATATGTATCTTAGTGCGTGCTGTGTACATTAATAAGATTTCATGTGTCAATTTTAAAGTTTAATTTTTTTGTGAAATATTTATTTTTCGAAAAGGTTTCTAAAAAAATTGATCTTACGTTTGTTATTCAAGCCCATGCTTATCAGCTATAGCGCTTGTGTATACGATCTTGTATTGCTTTTTATTTATAGATTATTTATTATTGCTTATATAAAATAAATCGTCTCAGAATATTCTAATTTTAGTTTTGTGAATTACCTATTTTATCCAATGATATCCTATTCCTGTATCTAATAAACGTCTGCACCTCCTCTATCTTTGTATGTTTTTTCTCGCTATATATTTGGGTATGCATGGGCGCAAATGATATTATCTCAGCCACTTGTTTTTTGCTGTACTAATTATACTTCCTTCACATCTATAGAAGTAGTGTAGTGTTATAATATATCTACAACAGCGTTAAATGAGTACAATTAACAAAAAAAAATAAATAAAATAAAATAGAGTAAAACAAAATTATTTCAAAATATTTTTTTTATAATTAAGGGAATTATATTAATTATATATATATATATATATATATATATATATATATATATATATATGTTTGTGTGTGTGTGTGTATAAAATATGTAGACTATGAAGTTATTATCTATGCATATTGATCCTATACGAAGTTGTTGAAGTGTAAATTGATAAGCAGTAACATAATTATCAACTGACTAATCAGACAGGAATTTTCATATGTGCTGACATATTGAAGATATAGATTTTATATGTATATATATTGAATTGAATTTTAAAATTTGGATCTACGGATTTTATAGCGTATACATGAAAAATTTTTTAAAGTTAAAAAAAATTTTTTTTTAAATTTTTTATCAAAAAATATAAAGAATTATTATTATCACACAGAATATAATTTACAATAATTAGAGTAATGTTTCGTTTGTTTTTAATGCTTTAAAATTATATACAAAAAATAAAGTTCCAAGGATATTTTTAGAACAAATTTACTTTTACAATATTCTAATATATCAAATATTGTATTATTGATAAGTATCTTGATTGTCAGTTATTGTTGCTTGTCAAGGAGAGATATAAGATAAAAAGATATCCAATATCAGCTGCCAGCAGTTTAAATTTGACCATAACGCATTCTTTACAGCAGTATATAGTAAAATCGGCTGCTCGTGCAAACGAGATATCGTATATCTGTCAGTACGTTCCGGACTATCTGTTTTCAACAAATCAGTCGTGCAAACATGAGCTGTGCAACGAAAGAACAAAGTAAAAATAATAAGCGTGTTTATGTAATGTTCAGGTGTCCAGTGTTCGAAAATTGCTTCGTATTACGTTTACCTGCGTATATCAAATATAAGATAAAGAAATAATACGTACTTAAAAAGATATGTTTATGATATATATGAGGCACATCCAAAAGGACACCTGAGGCAAACAAAATGAACAGAATATAAACAGAAATGATATAAAATTGTCAAAAAATTTATGCAAGAATAAAGTCATATTTAAAGAATAATTATAATGTAATAATTGTAAGATGTAGTTATACATTCGTGAGGATGATTTTGGAAATTTATAATTATAATAAGATGAAAAATTTTTAAAGATTCACAGTTATAATCTGCATATAATCTGCATATTTTGAAAATTTTCTCTAAAAAAATTATGTTTGTTATTTGTATAGAGGCACAAGAAAATGCTGACGAGTACAGTAATGAGGTGGAACAATTGCGCGGTACAGTGGCCAGAAATGAAGAGGAGAAGCAAAGATTGGAAGCGGAACTGTTGCAAATTAAAGAGATGTTACAACGTGAGGTGGCTCGGGCAGACGCCGAAAGTCGTAGAAGCAACGTCATTATAGCCGAGTACAAGCAGGTATTTGTATGAAACATTATTATATCCACGCCATGCGATTTCAAATTTTACATAGAACTGCAAGAGACGCGTATTTTTATTATTTCAGATCTGTCAGCGTTTGGAGGACGATTACAATGCGGCAAAGACAACGTTAAGCGAATTACGCGTACGTGATTTAATTTGCGCGATTAATGTTGTGTATCAAGTACTGCGTACAGAAATAAAATAATTGATATTGTTTCAGGCGAAGGTTTCAAAATGCGAAAAATGCAGAACATGTATAATGGACTCGTCGAATATCTTAGCGGATATCGCGCATCCCTTGGAGAATCGTATAGATCCTATGCTTCATAGAGTACAGGAAAGGGTGCGCGAATTAGAGCTGGAACTAGCGCAGACCAAGTTGGCTCACGTCGAGGCCGAGTGTCGGAATCAGGTGACGGGATTATAAATATATAGTATATATACATATATATTTTTTTTACGTAATACTAATTTTTCGAAGTCGCAAGATACAGAAAATCTTAATACGAATCGCTTTTTGTCGACAGGATCTGACGCATCAATTGCACGCTACTGCCTCCGAACTGCAAGCCGCACGAAACAGCTGGCCGTGGTTCAGTAAAACCTTATCCAGCATAAAGGAAGCAGCGAACAAGAGGGAGGTCCTGGGAGCACCACCGACTGCGCTGAGAGATCTGAGACGCGATAGCGCACCCGGAGGCGATTTGCACCACCTGATACATTCTCGAGGCCGAGACACGCGGGACAGTCTCAAGGAAGTTGTGTGATGCAGTAAGTATTTCCTTAAAGTAGAAAGAATAATTTTTATAGCAAAATTAAAATATTTAAAATAAGAGCACAATATTTACTAAGTACAGTCGCATGAATGAGGAGCTCTTTTTATATGTATTATTCAAGTTTTAAGAAGATATTTTATAGAAATAATCCACGTTTTATTGATGTTGCAATTTTAATATTCTTCCTTCCCTTCTCTTTTTGCATGAATGATACTTGACTTCATATCCTATTCATTAAGTTTTTACTAATACTTTTGCTACGCAGACAAAATGCCAATAGAAGAGGAAGAATACGTACATTTTGGAGTCAAATGTGTCAAGCACAAATACGTGAACACGACGTATATTCGTAATTACATGTGTAAGACTTAATCTGTTCAGTCGATGATGTAATTCTTTGTCACGCTCTTCGCCATATCTCGCACGTCGAAGTGCTTTTCATCAGGCAGCCCAATTTATATATTATTAATTATTATATGTTGAAATTTTGTTACATTTTTGTTCTTTAAAAGTAGACTACTAATTTCTGTGATCCTTCTGTTTCAATACTCTACGAGTATAAAAACGCTTACATTAATATTATTTTATTTTATTTTTTTCTTCTTATTTAGCATATATAAAGCCGTACGTGAGCTCTCTATGCTGGATAAAAATATAAAAAAAAATTACATATATAATATCTCGCTACTATACGCGGGTATAACAATCAATTTACAGCCAAAAGAATCACATTACGTACGCAAACATACGGTAAATTATTTATAATATTAAAAAATACAAAATAAGTAATATATGCCGCGTTTTGTATGAACTAGTCTAAGAATGAAAGGGAGACAATGTAGAAACCTTTACTGTGTATATATACAATGCATTCAAGTAACACAGATGCGTGATTGCAGATATATACAGTATAAATCAAGATTTATATCGCGTTAAACAACAGCCAAGATTTGTTTCGTTTATTTTTTTTCGTTAATTAATTTTACTCGGATTAACGTAACATTCCAAAATAGTGTGGATGCGTTTTCTTCCATTACTGATTTTTTTATTATTAAGTCAGCTATTTTCTGCAATGATTTCAGTTCTGCTAACGAAGTGACGATAATATATACGTATAATTATGACACTTTAATTGATTCACAATTAGTGTTAGATTTGATATTTAAAGAGATTTCACTTTGCTTTAGTTTTATATATATTTTCGTTACCGATAAACGTGTGCGAAGCGTATTAGTATTTTATCACTCGTTCCATAAGGAGACATTAATTACAAATATATAAATATAGCAAAATAGATTATGCATGTAAAAAATACAAATAGATGCGAGATACTCAGAAATTTTAGTTGCAACTTGCATTTTGTTTTGATAAAATCTGTAGCAAGAGACAAACACTATTAAAAGCCATAGATCTTGTGGCATTAAGGCACTACTTAAAAGCGCAATTCTATCAAATATATGTAATTTTGTCTAGTATCATAAGTGTATTTCAATAATAAATTTGTTATATACTCCTATAGCACATTCTTGACTATCAAACTTAGCTTTGTAACTCGTGCTGTTCAAATATAGTATATATTTATTTATACACATTTGCACTTAAAAAATAAACTGTTATGCAAATATTACAAAAATTTTCCGTATATTATAATTATAACAAGCATATTCATTTGTGCCATTAAGTTGTATGTCAGAGTTTATTTGAAGCACCGATTCATGTTTATTTAATTTCGCGATTAAAAGAAGAATTTATTAAAATGATAAAATGAAGGAATAATGCGTACACGATTGCAAGCAAAGTTTATGGTCACGTTTAACTTGTGTTCTAGCGAATAATCAATTATATCAACCAAAAAATGAAAGATTTTATTTCTGTAAATATTATAAACAGTCGAAATGGTCTATTAACAGAATTATGTAAAATTGTAGGCTAACTTTATGCATAAACCATATACATACACATTGTATACCCTGTAATTTCATTCCACTATTATTGAAAGGAAGATATCACACGTTTCCATGTAAAATATTTAATATTAAGGAGTTCGTAACTTTTATGCCATACAATATGTACATGCTTTTCTGTATTAGGTCAAAATATATTGAGGACATTATATCTACTCAGATTTTATATCGATTTTATTTGCCCAAAGCACAATTGCGAACATAATTATATGCAGTCTCAGTCTTAGGGATAGGAAGTTTTAAGGAAATTATAGTCAAACAATCACAAAAGAACTAAATATTCATAACATATCACACATTTGTGATAATAATGTATCAGATATCACATATATATGTTACTCTTATCGAAACTTAACATATCTATGAACTTTCGTAAATTACATTAAGAGCTAAAATACTACATTGGAAACTTGATTATATTGACATTTCGTTAAGAATTAATGGAAACTTCGTAGAACCGTAAGAAAATATATATATACACATATATATGTATGTATATGTATGTCGATATGTAATGTATATATATGTTAAAAGATCAAAATATCTCTGATATTTTGACTATTAACAAGAATGTTTGATTTTTCAATGAAATAGAGAAGCTGACATTTCCAGATACTTATAAAGCTGCAATTTAAAAATCTTCTTGCAGTCTGTTCCTTAAGTCTGTGAAAAATGACTAACATAAAACAACAATGTTTGATTTATAATATAAAAATAGAAATTATAAATTATACTTGGTAACATGGGAAAAATACATATTTTTACTTGATAATCAGATTTGCCTTAACGTTACATAAAATACTACATAGGTTTAAAATGTTATCAAATAATGCTATGTATATAAAAATAAAAAATTTGCCATTAGAAATAAATAAGTAGGTAGTTATATATTAACATATAATTAAAATTTAGATTTAAATAAAATAAAAAATTATTGTTTTACTTATATCAAATATTCTATTCTAAAATGTAAATTTTTTTATCAGATATCAAATGTAATCAAGAATGTTCTCCAATATATATAATTTTATCTTCCAAGCCTATAGATTTCCAAGTCTGCAGACTTTGTTGGGAACATCAAAGAATGATATGTACGATTGTAATACCTTAATTATATCACACGCATCACATCCTTTTCGCCCCAGCAAGAAAAGTGTTTTATTTTTTGTCATTTCCATTTTATATGTCGCTCTCATTCTCGGACGAACTGCTATCAAAACCTTCGTCACGACCCATGTAATTAGCATCATCTAGTAATATAAATATTGTAAATATATCTTTCCCCCGTGCAAACAGTGCAAAGATAAGAAAGACTTAGTTACCTGCTACTTCATCTTCGGGATTCCTCAAATTTTGTCTATCAAGTGGATTTGCCATATCCAATAATCTCAATAACCATATGGGAAATCCGTTTTGCATTACGTAAATATCGTTTTCATTCTCGAGATCATTTTCCAGTACATCGATTAATGGTTGCAAGTTTTCAATATCATTAGCATCCACAGCTATCATATTGTTACCCTCATCATCCCTGTTATTGTTTGCCAAATCACCATTTTCTACCTCGATTGGTTCCAAAATGCCGAGTCTTGGCGCTTCTGCAACGCTCGGTGATTCAGAATCTGGTATATGATCTTGACCTATACTGGACAAATCATATTCTGGTGTTATATCTTGCACGGATGCTGAATTTGGATATCCAGAATCCATAATTTCGGGAGACCAACTGTTTGGAGGGGTTTCAAATGGAGAAACTGATTTAGCTTCAATATTTACTAATCCAACGATATTCGATGCATTTACATCTTTGCTTGTACCAACAATTTCATCATTTTTTTTTAATACTGCAAATTGAACATTATTTGCATCTTTATTACTGCTACTAGATACAAGTCTATCATTTTCTAAAACACTAGTTTTTTTGGCACATTCAGTTGAAGAGTATTCGCTATTGTTCTGCGATTTCAAACTCGACAATTCTTTAGGCGGATTTAAGCTCTTTTCTCTTACATTCGACTGTGCGAAATCGTTAATCACATTTTCTTGATGCAGCTTTGTACCATTATCATTTGTTTTTGTTAATGTACAACACATGTCTTCTTCTTTGTTAATGTTCTCATTGTTCAATGACAAGCTGTGGTGTGCGTCTACATTTTGTATATCATCCGCGAAATCGGATTCATGATTGATTGCAACGTTCTTTTCTATAAATTTTTCATCAATATCTTGCATTGATTCTTTGGTAGATTCTTTATTCTCTAAATACAAATGTTTCTGTGCGTTATTGCTAATGAGATATAAGTCTGTATTATTTTTTGAAGAATTGGTAATATCATCACTTAAAGAACTAGCGCATAATTTAACTGTTTCTGTAGAAGTACTGCTACTAGATTTCTGACTAATATCATTTAATGAACTACTATCATCAGTATTCAATACAGTTTTCTTAATTGTTTTTTCTATAGATGATAAGATGTTCCTATTTACTACAGGCATTAGTTCTTTCAATTCGTGACAGCTTTGTTCAACGATATTGGTAGATATTTTTGTAGGACCTTTAGGTGAACTTGTAAATCTTGGTTGATTATTAACACTACTACTACAAACTTTTAATGGTATCATATCTGTCATATCATTATTTTCACAAACTTGATTCTTAACTAAAATCACTTGTTCAAGATTACAACTATTGTTTACCTTAGGATAACTTGAGAATTTATGTTTTGAAGAATTTATTTTACTTTTCTGTATCAATGTACAATCCTTTTCCAAAGAATTTTTTTTAAATGGCAAGGAAAAAATGTTCTCTGCAATAGATTCATCTACATCCGCATTTGTTATTTCAGATTGGTGAAAAGTATCGTTTAATGAAATTTGATGCAATTTATCGCACGATCCGTTTTGATAATTAGTGCTATAATTATGCAAAGAATTGTTCGATTCGCCAGAACTGAATAAAAGTAGTTCTGGCGATGTCGATGAACGCGAGACAGACATATATGGTTGGAAATTGAACATTTTTTGTACTTGTAATTCTGAAGTTGTTAAATTTATATCACTATTTTGTGATAAAACTGATTTTATTGTTGTATTGTCGGCTGATGAGTCTTTTAATATTAAATTACTGTCATTGAATATTGTCGAGGATGTGTCAAAAACTGATGGCACATCGGCATTATTCATTTTAGCTTCGCCATCTATTTCTATCTCATTTAAAGAAAGAGAAGTTGAATTACTTGGAAGTTCTCGTTCAGTATATACTAAAGAGTCTGTAATATTGCTAATCTTTGAGTGCCTAGTAACATCATTGTTGCTGGTTACATGCGATACTTCAGGTGGGTGATATTCTGATAAGAAATTTTCACCATCAAATAAATAACTATTTTCTTGAATAATAGAACGATTTTCGGGTATAATAATGCTGAGTTGTTCATTCCAGTTTTCAATATATGAATTTCGTTCAGTTAAACCTTGTTCATCTGCATTTGCAAATATGTTACTTACTGATTCATCTTCATAGTTGAATTCTTTTATATTTTCTTCATTTATCGAATCAGTATTATCCATATGAAAATTTTCATCTTCAGCTTCATAATCAGAAGAACAACAATCAATTTTTACTATTGGTCCATCTTCTCCATCTTTGATAATCCAATTTGCATCTGTTAAGACTTTTCTCAATGTTTCTATTGTTACATTGAAATTTTTTTCTTGCAAATAAGGTAATATATTACTCAGAATTACTTCATCTCGATTCTCCTGAAAGAAGGCTAATGTGGTGATATGATACGTTGCTTCATGCAATAATTTCTCTTCATCAGAACGAGTGTCAACATATACAGGATAATCATATCTAGCCACTGTCTTAAATAATCCATCTACTCCTATTATTTTATTGCATTCTTCTATTAATGATTGTTGGTGAAATACTGCCATTTGTGAGCATCCACCTAAGTCTTCAGTGCCTGCAGGTCCTTTACAAATTTCATGAAATGTCACAACATAAGATGGATATCTTGCCACAATGTCTTGTGCCCTGTTGATAAAATAATAGTGAACATTTCATTTTTTATAAGTTTCACAAAATCCAAATAAGCTTTATTTACCATTCTTGAAATTGTTTCCTTGTCCATTCAAACTTATGGTCTGGATGTCTGTAGCCTGAGAAGTTTGGAAATAATACATTGAAATCTGCATTTGGGGTAGTTACTATTGCTACTTTTGGCATAATATATTCAAAAATATTAGAAGGCAGGTCCATTAATGTCTCTGGATACAAATGCTCAATTCTAGAATTTTAAGAAATAGAAATATTTTTATAAAAAATAAGAAAGTTATATAAGTATGTATTTTAATATCTTTTAATATCAAATAAAAGCACAATTAAGATAAAATAACTCTATAAAGTCTGTATGTTATCTTAATTCATACAATACAACATACAATTCAATGCAAATTACAGCATCCGCTTGTTTCAATTTTTGATCATTATGTGTTACACTTCCTTCACATAATTCAATGACAAGTGGCGTTTGTCGACAACATACATATTCCATGAGATATGGTTCTGCTCTTTCTTTGTTATATTCTAAAATTTCTCTATCAATGTCAACGCAAAGTATCTCTTCCACTTCTTGTATGTTTTTTAAATAACGTAGAAAACTCATTTGTGAACATCCAAAATCGACAACCTATTAACAAATATTCAAAATTACAGTTATTATCTAAGAAAAGATAGTGAAATTAATACACACTAAAAGTCACGATTTTTCATATTTTGTTTACCAAATGATGAATGTTAGTGATCCATTAATGCAAACTTATTAAATCCAGTAATTAAATGATAAGTAAAAAAATTTGTGCAATCATATTAACAGTTATATGTCCTTCAGGTTTCATATCTATAACTATATATTTACATATAATAGTGTATTAATACCTTTCGTATTTTTCCGCTGTACACGGGATCAGTAAGTATGTTTTGCACGGCGTTGTATCTTTGTATATACGCCGGCGGATTGAATTTCATCGGCTCTACCTCGTGACATTTCGACGCCAGAGATTTCTCATCGTCGTCGTACGAATTATCGCTGAACATTTCGTAGGTTTGCTGGTCGAACGAAGATTTCTCTGACTCCTTCGCGGCATCGCACAAGCTTCTCAGCTTCTTGACGCGATAGTTTTTATATATATATTGACCGAGCAAATAAAACACGTGAAACAGCACGATAATCATGTCTGTGTAAGATGGTGTAGACAGACTTTTTGCAATTTTTTCTCACTGCACCACAAATTCACATCGCTTTCTGCGCGAATGTACGTGCAACCGACATGGACCATGAATCCCGCAGCGTGGCCAGTGATACACAATCTCACCGGCGCGAACCCTCGTGCGCATGTGAGGGATAATCAGGGATGTCACTGTGCACGTGACCGATCTTTACAGCTCGTGCTTATTAGACACAGAGGGAATCGGAGAGTTCTTGCATCTATATAAATTTTCTATTGTTTTTTGCCAATATTTGCGTTAAAAGAATGTTAAACGATATATTGAATACTACTAATCTTACATATAAAGTGTCTCAATAATAAGGAATTAAACTTTAAAAATTAATTTACTTTTATTAGTATTATTTTCAGTTAAAAATATTATATAAATAAACGATGTTTTGAAAATAAATTCAAAACATTTAGAAAAAATTGTTTTCTTAATCATTTTTGGACAACAAATAAATAAATAATATGAATATATTATTTCTTTTATATTTAATATTGATAGAATACATTAAGGAAATACGAAAAACACTGTATATATCTTTAAAAAATAATATTAATTAAAATATTTATTTTTTACATACCAATGTTTGGAAACATCAATATTTAGAAGAATATAAACAGCATTTAAGTTTTCTTTTTTGCTCTCAGTGTATCTACTTCTATTACTCATGATTATTAAAATATTGTTTAAGAAACAATTTAAAAAAAAAATAAATATTAAAAAACATTTTTAAGGATTTAAAAATGATTTTTCGGAAAGAATTTTTTGTGAAAGAATTTTTTAAAAAATTTTTTGAAATGTGTGCTTTTTTAGAAATATAGTATAAATGATTTTCATTTTCATAATATATAATATGAGTATTCATGAAATCCAAGCCATAGAAGTATTGAGTCAAAATTTAAAAATAAGCGGGAATTGACGAAGAATAGTGGACCAATCAAAACTGCATATTTCATGTCGTAATTCTTAAACTATAAAATCTCTAGAAATGAATCTCCTGAAAATTTTGAAGTGTTAAATTAACCAATTAAAACAAAGGAATTATTGCTATTTTCGTTCCAATTGGTCGAAATAAAACGAAATTTTAATCAAACTAAGTGCATTCAGTTGTATAAAAGGAGATTGTGATGTCCTTCTTTACATTATACATATATAAATAAATATTTATATATATAAATATTTAACGAATTAAGCGAACGAATGCATTCCGATTCATCTTTTCGTTTGGTATATATAAATATTTAATTCACTATTCGACAGATGGCGTTCCGACTCGCTTTTTTATTCGATATATATAAATATTATACTTAAGTGTGAGTCTAGGAAACAGATTTCGGATATTCACTGTAAGTCAGCCGCTCCTCGGGCGATCGGGACGAGATTTAAACGGTAGTGCCGCGAAATGGTGTAGAATTTTATGCAAAAAGAACGAAATCGCTATCGCGTCCGGAAGTCGAGATATAAATTGGCAGTTTTTCGCCTGCGCGCGGACGGTCGAAATCGTGCACGACGCCGCGCATGTTGCCTGTCTCTCTCGCGCGATGTTCACTGTAACGCGGCGAGTAAAATGGCACGCCGAATGTTCGATTAATTCGTTAAATATTTATATATACCGAACGAAAAAGCGAATCAGAATGTAATCGTTCGATTAATTGATTAAATACTTATATATATCGAACGAAAAGATGAATCGGAATGCATTCGTTCGATTAATTCGTTAAATATTTATATATACAAATATTTAACGAATTAATCGAACGAATGCATTCCGATTCATCTTTTCGTTCGATATATATAAGTATTTAATCAATTAATCGAACGATTACATTTTGGTTCGCTTTTTCGTTCGGTATATATAAATATTTAACGAATTAATCGAACATTCGGCGTGCCATTTTACTCGCCGCGTTACAGTGAATATCGCGCGAGAGAGGCAGGCAACATGCGCGGCGTCGTGCACGATTTCGACCGTCCGCGCGCAGGCGAAAAACGGCCAATTTATATCTCGACTTCCGGACGCGATAGCGATTTCGTTCTTTTTGCATAAAATTCTACACCATTTCGCGGCACTACCGTTTAAATCTCGTCCCGATCGCCCGAGGAGCGGCTGACTTATAGTGAATATCCGAAATCTGCTTCTTGGACTCACACTTAAGTGTAATATGTATATATACTCTTTGCGTGTTCGAATTGCATTTCATATTTTTCGCGACTCTGTTACCGTCATTTAAAGTTAATTTCGCAAGAAATTATGGCGAGTGTATTTTATATAAAGTACTTGTACATATTCGTCGTAATTCATCGTATGTATTGTGTACAAACGCCAACGACGCGATGTCAGTATCCTTCATCTCTTTCTGTGTCATGTGATGTGAATGGATTGAAATTCTCTTCGCATATTTTGCATCGTTATTTTCTCACCAAGTGCGATTACTGCGTGATTATAATCAAGTATGTACATATTTTATTAATTTATAATTAATTCTACGTTGATAGTATATTTTATTCTAGTAATTTCATTACTAGAATATTTTTTAATTATTTCTATGATGATTTGCTAATTACATTCTAAAACTCAAAATTTTTATATTCGTACAATCGATTATAATTCTATAATCTTTGGCATAATCTTTATATTTATATTTTTTTCAAATTATATCTTTTTATTTATTTTTTCATATTTTTAAAAAATATTTATATATAATTATTAAAAATTATTTGTTATCTTATTATAATATAATAAATTGAATTTGTATTACATACAATTAAATCTAAACTAAATGCCTATTATTGAAACAAATCATTTTAGAAAGAACACTTTCCAATTATTTTAGACAAATCATTTTCTAATTATCCTTTAAGTAATATGATAGTTATTGAAACTACATTTACTGAAGATTTTTAATGATATCTTGCGTTTAATTTTTTTAAAATTTATTTTATTACTAATGATATTTCACAGGAAATGATTGGAAAGATGGGATTGACAATAAATTATATATTGCTCAATATATTCCATCGACATAATTTATATTTGGGAGATTGAATAATAATTAAAATAATTGCGTGACAGAATATTAATAGCAGTCTACTCATTTTCTAGTAAAGCGACAGTATACACGTTACATAATTTTATATAAATTAAAATAATTGTCGATTTCTTTTTTTTCTATACTTGGACACCATTGCACGTGTATACCTACATGGTGATAAAAGCCGATGTGACATTTAATTTCACATCATTTGTCTGCGCACCTCAAAGATTTCATCTCTCTTGCATCAGTAAACAGATGCAATAATACATTATACTTTGACATATATTTTATATATTTCATATATTTATACATATATATTTATATATATTTTTTCATATTCTTTCTGTCATATGCATCTATAATATGCGTGCAACTATATTATGCACGAGATCTCTCAATGACTGTTAATCAGTCTAACAGGAACATAAAATTCAATACAATATTATTATTACAATTTATTTTAATAATATAAGTCTATCTATATAATTATATTGTAGAATTTATATCTTTAGTCAAACGCATATACAATACACACATTACATCCCACACATTATATTCACATCTTCAATTATTTACAAAAGTATTGCCGTAGAGGCATCCGTTCTCTTTCTTTTTTTTATATTGCAAAAATATGGATTGTCGATAGCTTTCTTATATATGTCTGTTGGAAAAGCCAAATAGAGATGCATTGAAAGTGGAGAATTTGCAAATCACAAGCGATTTGTGTATAACTAATATTTTCGAGCGTACTTTCTTATTTTATGAAAAGAAAATGCACATACGTGTAACAATATTATTATAAATAGTGTGATTATAAAGACTTATATGTTTTATAAATTGTTGCTTTTCGGCCTTTATACTCGCGTGCGAGACAACACACACACACACACACCACACATCAGAGTTTATATTTAATATAAAATTATACATGTTTTTATGAATTTTATACAATAGAATATACTAAATTTTATATAAAATTTTGTTTTGATAAGGATACAGGAGTGTTTTTAAATTATGTATATATTTTTTAATACTTTTTTTATGATTTATTGAAATTTTTAAAAATAAAATCTATATATAAGTTTCCAATAGTCAAGCAATTACATTTTAATTGCAGATGTAGGCTTTTTGGATCAATCTAAAGCACATTAGATAGAAACTTTTATATTTTGCAGAAGTTTTACTAAAAATATTGAATATTTCGCTTCACACAATCTGATTATCATGTTTGCTTAAGGTAAATATCAAGATAAAAGTTATATATATCCTCATTTGCTTGTAGAAAGATAGACATAGAAAATAACATCTGTTTAAGTAGATTAACAAGAACATTAGATTTGTATAGTATATATGTTTCTAGCTGCATATATTTTGTATAATATTTTAAAAAATGGGCCTAATTCATTCATATATGCCACTGCTTAATATTTATCAGGATAAATTTACCCATAATTTGTTCAAATTAAAAGTGTCAATTAATTTGATTGTTTGCATCTTGACCCTGTTTGATGGAGAAATCAATATAATATTTCTAAACAAATTTTTTAAATAAATAGGGAAAAGTTTATTATAGTTCTTTAAATTTTTAATAGTAAAACGTGACGTAATACATTTGCTGATCAAGGATATAATAGTAATTAACAAAGTACCATTAAATGGTAAAAATTGTATCTTATTTTGATATCATGAAGCATATTCAAAGAAATATATGTCTCGCATTTTCAAATTGATAGTAACTTTTCCACTATGCAAAGATATATTTAATTAGTAAATTCAAATCTCTTTCTTAAAATTTAGGCCGCTTAAAGTATTTCTTGTTTGACTTTCGAGGAATAAATATAAGTTGTAAAGAAAATAATTAAAAATGTTTCCTTGAAAATTCATCTACAGACAAATGTCACGTTTTATGTTAACCCATAAGCACCATGGTGGAGTCATACATGATTCTAAAATTCTTAATTTTGAGATTATTTGCTTTTTATCATAACATAATACATCTGATATTATCTTCATCTTATTTGTTCATTTTTCGATTCAAAAATAAAAAATTTGTTAGCAATTGTTTGATCATATAAAACTACATACATACATATACATTAAATATTCTTAAAAATATTCCGTGTTATGGGAAATTTTGTATATATGTAAATCCACAAATAATTCATATAAATATTTACACAATATCATAATATTAAAAATTTTCACCATGGCACTTAAGTGTTAATTATTTTTTTGCAAGATAAATTCTTCCTAAACTACGCCTTTGTATACAATAAAATCATATCACAAGTCTCGAATCGTACATCTCTGACCTAAGTGCATAATTAATGTGAAGAGATACTACAGTAAATATCACATGGAGCACAAAGATTTCATCAATTAAATACACCGTAGCGACTTTACAAAGTCCATTCCTTAATAATCGCATATATCTTATATTGATAAAATTAACCTTTAGGCATTACATATTTGACAGCATTATGCTCGTTCATAAAATAATAATTTATATACTTTCATATATCAAATAAGTAAGCTCAGGCATATGACTGATCCAGCGATATAGCTATTTTATTTCCTTTTTCGACCCAATTTCTAAGACGTCCTCTGAGTTCTTCAAGACTTTTCGATTTTGCTTTGTTTATCCTCTTGTACTTCACATCTTTTGGCTTTGTTACGGATCTGTGATTGCTCATTACCCTATTATATGTTACCTGAAAGCATAAGTAGAGATTGGTCTTTTGGCAACATTAATTTACACGTGCATGACAGTAGCATGATTTTCAAAACAACATAAAAATTAATATATCTAAAGTATCCCTTAAATCAAGATATCAATTTGTGTTATAAATTTTTAGATTATAATTCGTGCTCCATTTCAAAGATTATGATATTCCAATTTAAATACGTCACAACTATTTCTTGAAGAATGGAATTTTTCTTTATTCGCCGATCAGATTTCAAGTCGGTCGCTTTTACCTGGGCCTGCTGACTTTCATCTCTAGGTCTTTCGCTGGGTGGAGAATCCGCTTCTTGTGCCAGCCTCTCGAAACTACCATAAAGATCCTGAAGTCTTCCTTTACCGTTGCCCAAGTTTTTCGCTCTCCTATCTTCGTACTCTGAGTTTTCCGTCGACTCGGACGGATCCTGATTATTCTCGCTGTCGCCATCCTCCTCCACGGAATACACGGTTTCCAAGATTTCCGGTCTTCTAAGAAAACCGTTGCATCGTCGCATCGACGAATATTTATTTGACGGCTCCACCGCATCAGATACGGAACGGATCACAGTTACATCAGTGATATTAGATCGGAATCTATAGAATACAAAATCATAATTACGATATAAATAATTTATAATTCGTAAATTAAAATTTGAATAGAATTTTATTTTAATTTTATAAAAATAAATTAATAGAATTCCGTGTCGAATCTTTTATTGCACAAATTCTTTGTATGAAGTTAATTTTCACAATATTATAAATCATAGCATTATTTTCAATATTACATGAATTTCTATAATGAATAGAGATTATAATGCAGTCACACATATGAATAAATACATTTTTACAAATTCAAAACTTGTATTTCTTTAAAATAAAATTGAAATAATGTCTTTGCTTGATATTTTTTTCGTGCACTTATATTTAAAATTTCATCTGATTTATTCTAAATTTTTACATTCTTCCATTTTTTAAATCATTAGTTATATAATAATCATTATTTATATAATTTTTGTCGATTCAAAATTTTTATTTCTTTAAAATAAAATTGAAATCGTATCTTTGATATTTTTTCATGCACTTATATTTACAATTTCATCTGATTTATTTTAAATTTTGACATTCTTCCATTTTTTATATAATAAGCTCCTGTCGAGTCCACTTTGTATGGATGAAAACAAATATAATTGTATTTCTCAGAATTTATTATTAAAAAATATACCTCGGCGGAGCAGGATCGTCGGCGGTCTCTTCGAGCACCACGGCACTGTCGCTATCACCCAGACTGTCCAATCTGTCCAGGGCGTCGCAGGGTGGCGAATCTCTGGTACCTGTGCTCCTCTCCGCCAATCTGCTCTGCAATTGTCGAATTACCCTTTGTTGTCGTAGAATAATGGATTCTCGCTGACTTAGACAGGCTTCGATCTCCTTCTGCTTCCTGCAGAGTCTAGACTCGAACAGCAGAAGCTGCGATGACAACGTCCGCAGCTGTTCGGCCTTCTCTCGCGTCAGTCGGGCCACCAGGTCCTCCTATAAAATCGGTATTTCGGTAACACGTAAACGTCGATTGTGTGTCCATTTTTCGTATTAATCGCACGAATAAATAGCTTTTTACCATACAGACTATATCCGCATCGATAATTAATAAGAATAATTAATAACGATTGCATGGAAATGATTCGCAATGATCAGTCTTTCGCGCCATCGGATATGAAGCAGGTAATTAATTAGCGAGTGCAATCGCCGCCATTAGTATTTACTTAGCGTCGTTAATTAATTTCTTCGTGTACCATTCGATCGAGGTACCGTTCGAGCGATTATCGCTCATCGGAACTGGAGCATACGGTATATCGGAGATCGCATTTTTACCGAACATCCGTTCGTATCCGCGTAAACGCGTGTCTCGAGAGTGTCACTATTTGCTTTTTGCAGAATGCGCTACACTGACAGTACGCAAGTAGTGCGTTTCGTCTGTACTTGTCGTCAAAACTGCGTGTTTGCGCAATATGGCATGTATCCGACTATCGTTTTGCATGAACATCGCGCGTCATCTCTTCCTTCGTGTCTCTTCCTTCTGTCCTTTCCTCGGTAAAGAAGGGAGGGGGTACGAGTCCATTACTCTCGCTATTGTGCTAAATAGCACCGTAAGAAGACCAGGTGCTATTGCGCATCATATGCATTTCGCAGAATGAAAATAATTGAGATGTTTCGCCGATAAATTATACAATGTGAATGACCGGTTAATGCTTTAGAGGAGAGATTCTATGTTTATGAAAAAAGTAGAAAGCTAATACTACACAAAGATTATTTTTGACCTAAAAGAAAAGAAACTCTAATACATATTTTTTAATGTAATGTATGATGTGAAATCACTCTATTATATCCATCATCCACACTATATAATTAGAGGCTAATCGACTAATTGTCAAACATGTTTTCGTGTCGCCGTGTCGTAAAGATAAAAAAGGAGATTCGATCTATATTTTCCGCAAATTAAGAATATATATATATATATATCTTTCAATAAGATAATTAAATGCTCGACTGCTGTTATATAAAAAGTACCATTTGAAATAACAGAAAAATAAATTTTAAATTACCGCTTTAATTTATAACGAAAAATTAAAATTAAAAACTAAAATTAATAATAGGTACTGTCCGCATTAAAAAAATATTTTTACAATTGCACACGTAAATGCACATATAAATACATGTACTCAATAATACGATGCATCTCATATATAATAATAAATTATTATTAATTAATTAAATAGATTATTATTATTCTGAAGAAATAATTTTTTTAGTAAAAATGAATAGAGAAAAAATAGATATAAAAAAAGAAATTTGTTTTTTAAAATCACATTCTTTCATGCGCGGGTGCGCTACTCGTGCGTGGACGCATTAAAGTCCCCCCCGAGATGAATACATCACAACGTATTAATAGTTCCTCGTTTAGATTCGACAAAAGTACACGGAAAGTCGTTATCCATAATCTGCATCGGCCATTCCAGCCGGTACTTCCCCGCGCGACTAATGCCGGATAGCCTGAGAAAGAGGATCATTTCGTAGCAATTATTCCCCCGCGGATCTCTGGCGAATTTAGTGGGGGAGTCCTTTTTTTTTGCACAAAGCTACCTCGCGAACCGGGAATCGTCCCTAGTCACGCAAAGTCAGACGCGAAATCGTAGAATGTCACGAGATGCTTCGGCTTGCCTCGGAAGTGCACGGGAAATCTTTTATGGCAATGACTCGTGGCAGCAGTGCCGTTTTGATTATCTGCCGAAAGTCTTTCTTTATCGGCGCTATAAACGAGTTATATATCGACGAATATTTTAATTGTCCGATAAAATTCAAGGATTCTTTTTTTAACGAAATACTTTAGAAAGACTTTTAATTACGGATATATTTTTTACGAAAGCACGAAGGATCAAACATTTCTAGCGAATTGAGCTTTGGGAGTAATCAAACGCCGTGCTCGATAAAAGTGCGCGTTTCCGACTTTAATAGCAGTTCACTAGTCTGACATAGAAGCTAGCAATGTTTATTTAGAATATCCTCTCGTCTGCTTCCAACTATAGCAAGGCTACGTAGATCGCATTTAAATGAATCAGCGTATATCTAATATTTCACTGTCCGCAACATCGGTCCGGGCCGAGCGTGTTTTATGGTTTTCAAAAGTAATAGCTTTGATCGATCGTTTCGCGTCCCTCCTCCCTTTCCCTCCTTGGCCGGTTTCTTCATCCAAGACGAAACGGAATGGGATTGCCCTCGCATGTAGAAATTCCTCGTAATTGAAACTTGCCTGCAATTTAAGGGTCCTCCGCCAGGCGAGCATCTGGTGGGCCTGCGCCCGTTGCCTCGCCCTGAGTGCCGCTATGACCGACTTGGCTTCCTCCAATGACGTCACTTCCACCTCGTTACCGTCCTTCGCAGACTCGCCTGACAAGTCACCGATTCGGCGGCCCTCGTCGACGGTAGCCAATATGCAGCTGTCCATCGACGTCTCGTCGAAGCTGCGAACAGAAAGTAGCGCGATGAATTATCCATCGTTCCACATCCGCTAAACTTTTCGTAGCAATGTCGAAACGCTTTCAAACAAATTACCACTCGAGCAGTCGCGGTTTCTTCCAAAGTTATGAGTCATGACGGAAGAATTGTACAAGACAGATTATTGTTCACATACATATATGTAATTTTTATTCTAATTATAATTAATTCTATTAACTTTGTTCTTATCGTTTATTGCTCTTTTCTTTAGTTTTTTTTTTTCTAAAAATCTCCATTTTAAATCATGTGGAATAATTTCACATGAATTTAGAAAATTAAAGTCTACAGTTAATATCCTTCATAATAATAAGATATTAATATATTAATAATTAAAATTATTAATATTAAAATTAAATTATATATTTTATCATTATGAAGGATATTATCTCGACATGATTCTAGAAACATGTGGGATTATTCCACATGATTTCCTCCAACCAAAATCTAATCGAAGCAGGAATAGTCTCAAAGCGAAAATCGCAAATCATGTTCAAACGCGAATACGATCGTAAGAGATTTTTCCATGCATCTTTTCCGGTCGATTACTCGTACAACAGGATTTCGTCATGGTAAAGCTCGTTCTCTTCAGCGAGAAGTAATGTTCGTGTTTGAAAAGCTAACCCGCGCGACCCAAGATATGTTTTGATATCCCTCGCGCACGCTCTCCTTCATTTTCATCGACGTACTAATGAATCATCCAGATACAACTGGAAATGAAATTCGATACGAATCATAATACACAATCGTGCATGTAGGTAAACTGATCCTAATATCGAGAAACGTGATCGTCAAATAAATCAACGATCATGCGAAAAATCATGCAACTCGGTTTAATAAAACTGACGATTAAATTAATACTAAACTGATACGCGTGAAATAAATGTACGTCGACCGTCCCCTACTTTTCTGTCTCTTTTATTTCTTTTAAAATTTAATAAAGAAATTTAAAAAAAGTAGAGAAAAATATTGCGCGCGCACAAAGCATCTTTAGAATGAATTTTGAGTTGACTTAGCAAAAATTTTACGCAATTCGTCATATTTATATATGTATATATTTAAATCTTTGTCATATACATCATCGCATGAATGTAAATTTCTTTTTTCTTCACAAAAAAATAAGTGTCAAATCAAAACTTATATACTTAGATAAAACGCGTTCATTGTTTCGTATATACGCAACAATTTATAATCATCTTATTGTTAGAAGAATTTAATAATTTTAAATTTCAACAATATTATAGTCTTATTTTAATATTGTACTTGTCATTTCAAGAATATATAATTATTTAATTCCACTTTAAGAAAATTATAATCTTTGATTTAAAAATGTTATTTTCTATCTAATATTGTTTCTTTTCCATTCAAGAAAATTAAATCTTAAATCATAAGAATATATTTTTCTTGATTGACCTATATAAAATGGCTTCAAGTAAGCAATTATTCAAGCAATTATATTTTTCTTTAATTAACACAATTAATCTCATTTCAAGATTTCCATATTAAAACTAAATATATTTTCAAAACGAATGTCCTTTTTTTCTGTGTAATCAGCCACGAACGTTGTATATCCGTAAATAAAAAGTATCCAGTTTTATATACGGCAGGTAAGGCGAGATACTGAATGTACGTACGTGAAAAATAAAAGGTTTCCCCTCCTAAAAAATTTAAGTCATGTTTTGACAGAAGTTTAGCGCGAAGTGGCTCTTCGCTCGCGAATCCTATAAATACGAATCGTAATACTAGCCGGTGCTCCGCGAGAGAGCTTGATATCGATTTCGAAGGAATTTATATCGCACTGTATATCAAACGGATGTAGGTATACCTGCTACGGTTCGCGGATGAATAAAATCAGCCGAATGCACGGATGCGGCTGTATAGTGTACCAGTCGTCGTTCGCTGAAAACGTAAGCCCGTCTCCGGCTGGGTAAGAGCTACTCGGCTTTAAAGTCGGGTAAAGACACGTGTCGTAATGTCCACAGTTACCTGTTTCCCTCATCGATAGTAAACGAACCTTTTTTACGCCGCATGTTAACCCGAGAACCTCTGAAAGAGTACTCGATAGTAAAAGTCTGCAATGAATATATAACCGAGAGTGATTCTCTCGATTGTATCTGTGTATATGTGTGTATCGGAAATTTTTTATCGTGGATATTTTTTGCACGAGCTTTTAAAGTGATCTTATAAGAAAATTTTTACAACCGCTCTTTCATTTCTTTTAGAGATACTACGAGATATATTTCAGTAAATATATTGGATATAAAAAAGACACACAGACACACACACACTCACATATTCTATTTATAATAAGTATTTAGTTGAAACTTTTTAGTAATTAAAACACATTTTTATATTAATTCGATATTTCGTTCTTTCGCATGAACGTGAATGTAATTTTTGAAAAAAATTTAGAGAACAAAATTTATCTTCTTTTTACCCTTCTTCTTTAATTAAATCTTTTAAAGAATATAAATTTGCATTGTTGCAAAATGCCTTTCTATTAAAACTTGCGTCTCAAATATTGCCTCATTTACCTATAGTTTCGGCGATATTTGACAAGGCACACACATCAAACTAGTTTCAACCTCTAAGCCTGCATTATAGTGTATGCAAGAAAGTACACGTCTCTCATCGCGAGCTACTCTACACGACGCACTTGAAGCTTAGTAAATTCAAGAGACAGTTACGAGAGTTCCCTAGTTAAAGTCATCTCCCGTCGTTTCGAATTCATTCCAATCGAGCGGAGACAAATTTGGAAAGAGGGCGAACAGTTAACGCGCCCTCGCGAGTAATAATCTATATGATGAGTCACGAGAGAGAGAGAGAGAGAGAGAGAGAGAGAGAGAGAGAGAGAGAGAGAAAGAGAGAGAGGATAAAGTCATTTATAAATTTATGCGGTTTAAACTTAAAAGGCAAGATATGAAAAGTATATTTCTGATTTTTGTCTTCGATCCCCCTTCCCCTTCTCGACTAATTAAACCTAGGTAAATTATGCATGAGTCGTCTGGTTGAGTCACGCCGCGTCGGTGAATTTGACGTCCCTCCCCTCTTATGGGGGCATCGATCGCGAGGCACCCTACGTGAGAGCCAAAGATCGAAAGCCCCCTCCCCATCCCGCGATATGTACGATAGGGCCGCGCATTTCCGCCAGGTAACTTTGAGAGCAAAACTACCGCTGCGATATAAATGCGCTTCCACATCGTGAGTAAAAATATTGATGTAATAAAATAGAGCGAAGGATGCACAGCATGGACGCGGCACAATATCCACGTGCGCGATATTGTCTGAAAGATGATTAATAATAAATTTAGATGACTGAATTTATCATTACGGTTATTATATCCGGAATGCGCTTTATATACGAGAAATTAATTATTGCTTACTATTCGCCCATAATTCGTGGATGTTTATTATAACGCATAGATTAACTATCAATTATTACTTGTAATTATATATATATTATATATTTATACTATTATTATTATTATTGTTATTATTATTATTGCAAAATCTATCAATATCGGAATTAATTGATTGTCGGATATTATACGCAACTGTTAATTACGATTGATTGAAAATTTAATAATATATAATATATAATATATAATATAATAATATAAATAGCAATATATATAATATAAAATAAAAATAAAAATAAAAATATGTTTAAAAAAAAATAGATGAATACGAATTTCACTTTATATCTCGTATTCGTTGCTTAACGATTCTAGATTGCGTCTGACTTTAGTCTAGGGAACCCTCAAGGGAACGTTATGATAATTCCGAGATAAATATCCGCGCAGAGGAAAGTTGTCAACCTATTATCGTGGTTTCTCCACTAGTCATAAGAACAATGCAATTGCGTAGTCAGAAATACATCGTGGAAATTTCGACTGAAATTGTTGCCGCTATCTTGCTATCGTGAGGAGCATTGTTTTAACAAGGGTATCTTTTATTTCCTATCAAAGTGATGTCATGTCATCTGTTCTTCGCGTCATCTGCTTATCACGTTTTGTCATTATTACAATAAACAATGATGAGAAGTCTTTATTTCATGAGAAATCTCAATTAAAGGACGCCCGAGGCAACAAGACGTTCGTTAATTTTCGCGACAGTTTCCATGATTTCGCAGTTTCATGCAACACGCATCGGAAAATGGAATCGAAGCACTCTTTTTTCACACGACGAAACGTATCAAGCTCGCCTCGAGCATGAGATTTAGCGTGACAATGTTCTTGTCCTTACGTGTATCCATGGTTACCGTTGAACATGGGACACGTTGTTCTGCTTTTCCCCGAGGAATTAAACCGAGTTAATCCGTTGTCTGCAGCAGGTCTCGTGATACGCGCGCTGCCCTAAGGGGTCCAAACATCTGAGGTAGATTCTGGTAAATATTCCGCATGCGGTATTTCACATGTCACGTATACATATAGACAGCTATGTGCCGACGCGTGTATACATATGCATATATGCATGCACACACATCCGACTGCGGCCAGGTGGATATTGCGCGCGCGAATCCGCACGCATGTTAGACGCATCTCACGGCGACGCAGACGCGCCGCAGAAATACCGAGCGCTCCGGGAGCGCGGATAATATGCTCGATAGGAATTATAGTCAGGTGGCGCGAAACGCGGGGGAGGACGTCGTGGAATCGCGCACAGGCCACAGGTTCGAGTCGCTGTCGGATTCACGTGGATAGAAGGCACGCTCGCAATCGATGAGAGACAATTTAATTTTAATTGTTTGAAATGTCAACATCTACCTTCAATTTTCAAGCAGAATTAATCTTTAGATATAGATTAGATAGATCCCTCGCGTTTATATCGGGAGCGAATGCAATGAAAATGAAAACAGAAAAGAATTTTAAGGAATAGATGTATAATAAATAATACACTGTATATTTCTCGATCATATTTTATGAATAATTTACTTCTTTTTTTTCTCAATTATGACAGAACACGATTT